AGGCAGCAGAGTTAGCTGAGGAGTATTATACTCGCCGAAAGTTGCATAGCAGGGCAGTGCGCGTTGAAAAGGATGAAAGAAAAGAGGGCTTTTCAAAGAAACCTGATCAACGGAAACCCGCTCCGCATCGTAATTTCAAAAGGGACCCGTCTCTTACGAAGGACACTGTAGAGGAAGGGAAAACAGAAGCGGAAAAATCGAGTGAGGTCTCTAAACAACGCACTGATACCACACGGGCGTTTGAATCACGGAAGCCACTAATCTGCTACAACTGCAAAAAGGAAGGGCACATCGCGATAAACTGTAAGCAAAAGTTTGCTTTTGCAACAATTAGAGAATCGGAAAAGAACATGCGGTTGTTGGAGCCGTATATCCAAGAAATTAGTGTGAATGGGAAAGCGTGTCGAGCACTTAGAGACTCCGCGGCAACCATGGATGTTGTCCATCCTTCATTGGTGTCCCCGGATGACTTTACAGGAGAATGTGCGTGGATCAGGCAAGTCGCCGAGGAGCAGAGTGCTTGCTTACCTATCGCCATGGTTGTCATTGAAGGCCCGTTCGGTAAGCTTCGCACCGAAGCGGCTGTGTCTGCCGCGCTTCCCGATCGTTTTCCTTATCTCTTCTCCAACAACTCAGAGCAGCTTCTCAAAGAGCAGGGTAAATCGTTCTTCCCCAACTTAGCGTACATGGCCCTCACGCGATCGCAAGCGCGGAAGCTCTCGCAAGAGCTTGACCTTGTTCAAAGCGGTGAACTCTCAAGTGACCTTGTCGGCGGGTCGACGGAACCTCAGAGAGGAAACTTTCCGCGTGAGTCATGTGAGCAGTCGCGCGAGCGGCCCGTCGCCGATCCGACCGGCGCAGTTTCCGTGGAAAGGGAAGGCGACCTGGCGCCATTGGATCAGAGCGAGAGGGCTGAAACGCTCTCGCCTGTAGCGGAAAGTTGGAGTGAGCTGTCGAGGGTTGATCGAGAAACGCTCATTCGAGAGCAGCGTGAGGACCTCTCGATTAAAGCGCTAATGGAAAGCGTAAACTTAGAAAAAAAGAAAAAGAATGTTTCTTTTTTTGAGAAAGCGGGGCTTTTGTATCGGAGCTACACAAATGCGCAAGGTCGCAAGTATGAGCAGCTCTTAGTGCCACAAAAGTATCGTCGCCAACTATTGGAACTGGCGCATGAAAACGCATGGGCAGGGCATCTCGGCATAAAAAAAAAGCAAGGCTAGAGTTTCCCTTCAGTTTTATTGGCCGAAATGCTGGAAGGATATCGAAGACTTTGTGCGCTCATGCGACACTTGTCAGAGAGCGGGGAAATCCACGGACAAGTGGAAGGCACCCATGAAGCTTGTGCCGATTATCACAGAACCTTTTCGGCGCCTAGTAATTGATATAGTCGGGCCATTGCCAGAGTCAAGGCAAGGTTGTCGGTACATCCTGACGGCTCTCTGTGTAGCCACAAAATTTCCGGAAGCGATACCCCTTAAGGAGCTCAATTCCCCTCATGTCGTGGATGCGCTGCTATCCATTTTTGCACGCGTCGGATTTCCTTCTGAAATCCAATGCGACAATGGTAGTGTCTTCACCAGCTGCCTTACCTCTACCTTTATGGATAGATGTGGAATAAAAGTAGTGCACAGCTCGATCCATCACCCGCAATCTAATCCGGTAGAGCGTATGCATTCCGTTCTGAAACGGATACTGAGAGCTCTCTGCTACGAGCACAAATGCGACTGGGAAGCGTGTATTCCTCCCGCTATGTTCGCTTTAAGATCAGCTCCTCATGAGAGCACAGGTTTTAGCCCTGCAGAGCTTGTGTATGGCAGGAGTTTGAGAACACCATTGCAAATGCTACGCGAGTCCTGGGAGGGATTCGATGAGGACCCTAATGTAGTCGTGTATGTTCTAGACCTCCTTCAGAGGCTTGGAAAAACGAAAGATCTGGTGGAAAGCCACATGAAGGCTGCACAAGTATTGTCGAAGGAGTACTACGACAAATCGGCGAAGAAGCGCACATTTGAAGTTGGTAGTCAAGTAATGCTGCTGCGGCCGTCCAAAAAGAACAAGCTTGAGGTTCATTGGGAAGGGCCTGCCAAAGTAATATCGAAGCTTTCTGATACCAATTATGAAGTGAAATTAGGAAGGCGCCCGAACAAAATTTACCACAGTAACTTGATGAAACCCTACGTTCAACGTCAAGCGGTCGTAAATCTGCTGTTGAATGCTGCAGAGGAAGAGGGAGAAGAAATTTTGAATTCTAGTGATGTAATCGAAAGGGGATCGGAGGTAATCTTGGAGCAGTTGAACCTAGAGCCTAGGTTAAGTGAAGTCCAGAAGGAGGACCTGAGAAGGATTGTTTCCGAGTTTCAAGACGTGTTTTCGGACCGTCCCGGAAACACGACGGTGATCGAGCACGATATCGAGCTAACTTGTGAGGAGCCAATCCGTAGCAAGCCGTATCGTTGTTCCCCCGTGCAAAAGCAGATCATGAAAGAGGAGATCGATAAAATGCTGGAGTTGGGAGTCATAGTACCGGGCGAGAGTGACTATACATCCCCTCTAATATTGGTTCAGGTGCCAGGAAAAGATCCGAGGCCATGCATCGATTACCGGCGTCTTAACGCAATAACTCGGGACCAAACTTACCCGATACCAAACCTAGAGGAGAGGGTGGAAACTGTGTCACAGTCCAGCTATATTTCCACGTTAGACCTCGTGCGAGGGTATTGGCAAGTCCCCCTTACAGAGCGTGCCAGCCGCTATGCCACATTTGTTTCTCCATTTGGAACGTATCGCCCACTTAAGCTGAGCTTTGGATTGAAAAATGCACCCTTTTGTTTTTCAGGCTTAATGGACCGCGTTCTTAAAGGCCTCTCCGAGTTCGCTCTGCCGTATATTGACGATGTCGCCATCTTCTCCAACAACTGGGAAGAACATGTCGAGCACTTACGCGTCGTGCTGAACAGGTTGAGAAAGGCTGGCCTTACCGTGAAACCTACTAAATGTCACCTAGGGTGTGGCGAGGTGTCTTACCTGGGGCACGTTGTGGGGCGTGGCCGGCGTAGACCTTCAGAAATTAAGGTAGCCGCTGTCGTGAACTATCCACGACCAACCACAAAATCAGAGATAAGGGCATTCTTGGGCCTGGCTGGATACTATCAGCATTACGTGCAAAATTACTCTAGCGTGGCCAGCCCTCTCACTGACGCGCTTCGAAAGTCCGAGCCGGTTAAAGTAGTATGGGACTCAGAAAAGGAGACTGCGTTTTGCCAGCTAAAACAGGCCCTAAGCGAAAAGCCTGTTCTCATGGCACCCGATTTCTCTAAGAGATTTGTGATTCAATGCGACGCGAGTGATCGCGGCATGGGAGCTGTATTGTGCCAGGAGGACAGTGCTGGTAACGAAAGGCCAGTTTTGTATTTAAGCCGAAAACTCAGCGGCAGGGAAGAGGCGTACAGTACCTCTGAAAAGGAATGCGCTTGCCTCGTGTGGGCCGTTCAAAAGCTAGCTTGTTATGTCTCCGGTTCAAGGTTTGTGGTTGAAACGGACCACTGTCCTCTAACCTGGTTAAATAACATGTCGCCTAAAAGTGGCCGGTTACTGAGGTGGAGCATGATACTCCAACAGCACAACTTTGACGTTCGCTACAAAAAAGGAAGGCTAAACGCTAATGCAGACGCATTGAGCCGTGCGTTTAGTTAGTACCTTCTCAGCCTTTCGGTTTCTCGCTGGCGATTCGGGGCAAAATTTTGACCTCATCACGACCTGGGCTGAGCGCTCTCGTTCAGAGTGATCTCAAGGAGCCAACTTTATGTGGTATTCTAATTCGTTACGTTGTTGTACGTGGAAAAAAAATTGAGTTGTCATTTTAAGAGTCTTGTGTCCCACATGTGCCTCTTGATGTAGAGGGAACAAAATTCCGATAAACACGTAGATAGGTATATGTTGTACTATACTTTGTCTGGTGTTCTGTCGGGTGACCGAGGGCACTTGCTTGTGTCGTGTGTTGTCTGTTGTCGAACCGTTCTTAGCAAGTTGCAGAACCATCGACAAGTGCTGAAACCGAAAATGGTCAGAAGAGACGAGCGAAGTTGGCCAGCAAGTTGTGGCGACAAGCCAGTGGAGCGGGGATCCGTCGTCAATGATGGGATGTGTTCCCGGAACAGTCTGGAGCTGTATTCTCCCCATGGCCCTGGAGGCGAACCTGGAGGGACCTGGCGAACGAGCGCACCTGACATCCGAGCCCCGTGGAAGCAGCTCGTCTTTCCGGTGCATTGTCTGGCGGCGGGGGTGCTGTTATGCCAGCGAGTCCTCGTCAAACGTCCGTGCCTCTGAAACAGGCAATCTGGGTCAAGGCCAGCCCGCAGCCCGCCGGGCGCGAACAACTCCACGGCGTGAACACGCGCGGCGCATCTGTGGCCCACGTGCATTGAGTCAGTTGCGCACGTGACAGCGAGCCGGCGTCCTCATGTCTGGTGGCCTGACGCATCGCGCGGCGAACCCCATTGGAGGAGCCTGCTCTGAAGACCAGCGGCGCTTCTGATTGGACATTTTAGTTGGGCCCGGTGTAAATAAAAGAAGCCCTGCGGCGTGTCGCGATCAGCGGTTCTAGGCGAAAGGCTGACCTATGTGTTAGAGAGAGGAGCTCGGCTCTTCGAGTCTCTGCCGGCCCCAGTGCCGAAATTGTAACGCCTCTGTATATATGCTGTACATAAACCTTGTTTAACTCACCGTCGTCTCGTCCGCTCGTCTCCTCAGCTCTGCGCAGAAGCAGTCGCGAGCTGAGAAACATACGCTACCAAACGGCTGGTGACCTTCCCGGCGGAGTTGAAAGCAGTGGCGCCTCCGGGGCCGTGTTGGCGTCGCCGTCTTTCGCAACAGTGGTGGCTTCGGCGGGATCGGTCCGCCGTTTCTCAACAGCAGGTAAACTCCCGCATTTGAAGGAGACATAAAACTACACGTGGAATAATGATTTTCATCAGGTAGTATGTAAACATTCCCAAAAAAAAAAACTTTTATCAAACAAAATTTATTGACATTTTCGATCTTTGTGGTCCCATACAAACGGTAATGCGAATACTATCGCGATCATATTTATCACATATCTCATAACTGTAAATTGCGTTTGTAAAACAAATATACGACATTCACAACGTGTTTTAAGTACAACGTACACTTGATTCATTCGTAAACAAAATAAACAAGATGAATAAAAAAGCCTAAAAACAAATCTTCGCGGTATTTACAAAGCAAATACTCTCACTCCATAATTCTCATTTCGCTGACCTAAAACATTTATCAACTATGATACTCTTTGTGTGAGAAGTCTGTCGAAAATACATTATTGTGGCCACAGTACCTCTCCACGTGTTTTTTTTTTAGTAGTTGTTCATAATCACAGTTGTTCAAACTATCCGAAATCAAGTCTAAATGCATTTACCTGCGCGTCACAATGGCCAACACAAAAAAATATGCATGCCCACAGCATGAAAAGGTATAGAATGGTTAGGGTGTTAACGCCAGAAACTCAATTAAATTTATGTAAAGTCAAAGACACATTGTTTACTAGGTTAGGTGACTAAATTTAGTTGAAATTTACTTAATAAGTGAAAGTTAATATGTATTGCCAATGGTAGATGTCGGAATCAATTCTGAAGCTACTATCGCGCACTTACAATTATACAGAAAGCTGCGTAGTGCACCACAGTATGGAGCTTTCATTATCCACAAAACGAAACATTTCAAGATTTGAAGCTATAGTGTTAGCCAGAAAGGTTCTGGAACAGCTCGGGTAAACCAAAGGCAGCAACTAAAATAGTCGGCAAAGAACTAAGAAGATAAAATGTTCTAAAAAAGCGACGATGGGTTAAAACGTCAGCATTAAAAACATCCAGAGAAGAGCTTTATCAAGACCACGTGCTGCTTTAGTGTAGGGCTGTGTTTTTGGCCACCGTCAAATAAAAACCTGCACTACGCACATGTGGGTATCTGCAGGGCGCTCTTTCAATCAAGAGCTGACTAGTATAGTATACTTCGCTCCTCACAATCTAATTTTTTTTTTCAACAGATAGCCACATATAGGGCGATGGGTGTACAAAACGTAATACTATGAAAGAAATTCTATACACGCGAGACAAAATATAAAAGGAAGGTGAAGATATTATACTGTAATGGCGTCAACTGCAGTGTTTTTAGTTTTGCAATTCTCCCAAACAGTAACGCGGGCAAAGACGACGAATTTAGTTTATTTTAACTTTGCGCCTATACTTTAACAAGTCTGCGTCCCTGAGCAATGCTGTAGCGTATTCGGGGAAACACTCCAAACGTGAATTGCGTCCAGTACTATTCACGCACAGTCACAGCAAGATAATAATACACAACCTTGGTTTCGAGGCGCAATCTTCGGAGCAGGAATACAAAATGTAATGTCTGAGCACTTGTCAATGCTGTTCTTTCTAGGACTCCCACACCACACTGTAGATCACCTCTATGCGCTGAGGGAGCTTTGCTGCATTGCAGCAACTACAATCAAAAGCACTATACGCAAAATATTGTTAGCTCTCGTTCCTTGTGCATCGTAAACTAACAAAAACGAGGGTATCTGTTTTGTACTGCAATAAAGGAGCAAATGGTTTTTGTTGTGTCATGTTTGGCTCTGCAGTAGTTAATTACTCATAAATCTGTGAACTGTCCCGTCAGTCCTTGTGCTTGTAGTGATATATGTGGTTAAGCAAACGTTTCTTTACCATTTGAAACTATACTCAGCTTTCGTTGTCTTGTAGGCTTTCACTTGTAAATGTCTGATTTCCTTATAACGTTTCCTTTTGGTGCCTACCATATGTGTTAGCGAGTATAGTTACAACCCTGTTAATTAGAATCAGCTGTATCAAATTCTGTATCAGCGCTTATACATTCATTTCATTTCTCACATAGTTGGTCTTTCTTTTGCGAGGAGTTAGAACAGAGTAAAGGGATAAACCACCACAAAAATGACCGAGTTACTAAGTTGTGTAGACGGGGTACGATAGCGTCACACTATTGTACTTTTGTAAGTTCACTAATTAGACCAAAACCATAATATTGAATAATTACCCACTAATATATGTCTTTAAAAGGGAGTCACACTGTGAGATATGTTGAGCGACAAGATTAAGAACGCTTGCTAAAACGGCTGATTGTACGTGTAAAACCACCACGAATGTTCGGTGAGATGAACTTGCGTTGGGGCAGTCAGCGAAACACGGTGTAACGTTGGCAGCTATGAAGCACTTCACCAAAGCGTTCGATGCGAACACTTACAACACCGAGCTTAACAGTTCACATTTGTTCCGCCACAAACACAAGCTTCTCGAAGAATGGACGTCCACGAATCACTTGTAAACGGCGAATCACACTTCGCACTGTTAAATGTTGAGCTGGTCTTCGTATATGGCAATCACACACATGATTCCGACGCCGGCCAACACACCGATGTTCTTGACAATGAACATTTTGAAAGGACTCTTTCCTTTGTACTGCTTCAGCTCGGGCAGCTGGAAAAAAGGAAAACGACGAACCATTGAGGTGGTAGGGTGAAATATAGATCATATGGATTGATTGATTGATTGATTGATTGATTGATATGTGGGGTTTAACGTCCCAAAACCACTATATGATTATGAGAGACGCCGTAGTGGAGGGCTCCGGAAATTTAGACCACCTGGGGTTCTTTAACGTGCACCCAAATCTGAGCACACGGGCTAGATCATATGGACAAAGCAATAATTTTTGTTAGGTGAAACATAGTGACCAACAAAACACAGAATGAATTGATGACTTTAGCATAACATGAGTTTTAGCACATTGATAAATATCGCTGGTTTCTTGAACAAAGTTGCGCAAACGTGCATGGACTAACCAAACGGCAGTTCATGATGCCCTAATCCATTCAATCCTCTTTTTCTGTTTAACCTGCAATGTCTGCATGTCAGCTACATAAGTCTTCAATCTACTCAATACTAACTTCTAACTGTATATAATGTATATAAACGCAAATCCTGACAGCAATTGTTAACATATTAAAGCGCGAGTTTCACCAGTTCACTTCTGGCTTAGTTTTTTTTTGCAGATCAGGGCATTGAAGGCTCGAAAAAGCTACCATTATCCTTAATGAGCGTGAGCAGCATTAGACTGATGCTATTAGCTAAACTTCATTGATTTGCTGTTCCAGTAGCACTAAAGAAGTGGAATCATTCATATTCGGAATAGTGTGAGAAGGTTAAAAAACTTTCAAGAACTCGCCTTAATTCGGGCGCTGTTCTTGATAAATGATCTGAGTAGATTACTTTTTAAAACGAAACAAAAAAGAAGCAAGCAGCATAAAAGTCATGAGTTGGCAATTAAATTACTACCAGTCCGTCACAATATTACCACAATTGGCAAGGCATGTATTTCCTTCCTGCATATGTTCCAGTATGGCAACACAAGTCAGTCCCATTAAAGCAAGGTTTGCAAGCATTTTCCAAAAATATTCAGCACGCCAAATAATTTAAACGTATCGTGGCGCTGTCATGACACCTGAATTCTCGGCTATCACTGACGTCGTAGAGGCGTCATACGGGGTCCTCGCGGAATGCTTTTTTTTTTTTTTGCATTACTCGTGTTGAGACCAACATTCAATCTAAGATCTAAGACCAACGTTCATCTATAATCTAAGGTATCCAAGACTTTCGCCTCATAGAAAAACTCACCGCTGCAGTCAAGTTCATAAAACAAGGTACTCCGAGCAGTGTATGCCCTTACCATGTCTACGAGGGCTACGTAGAGGAAGATGCCCGCGGTGACGGTGAGGATCCAGTCTCGCGCCGCTGCCTCTTCTCCCAGCAAGAATCCCGCGTACAGGCCAGCGAACGCCGCCATTGCAGACAGGAAGTTGAGCAGCAGCGCACGCCGGTAGCCCAGCCCGGTGGAGATGAGCACCACGAAGTCACCTGGCAAAAGGCAAAGTTGCTATAGAGTAAGGTCTTGCGTGGGACTATCACAGGCTATGAAACTTTCGTTTATGTCTATACAGCCACTACATGCCACACATATTTTCATTCATATGATGTGGGAGGTTCACGCACAAGTAAGGCACTGGCTGCATCGTAGCTTTCGAAAAGGTCGAGCGTACAACACAAGAATTTCTCACAGCAATGAAAAATTATTGGAACACGGAGTGTCGCTTCCACCTGCGACACCTCGGGTTTAAAATTTTTTCTGTTGCTTCTTCAAGTTTCCAGCATTCCCTGAACTTCTTTACTCACAAGTTTCTCGCAGTGAAACAGCAATCTAACGAGTTGATTAGAAACTGTCAACCAACCTCTTCACAGTAAAGTCAAGGCATGGAGAAAAAACTCTGTTACACACATACATGTGAAACAATGTTCTCAAAGTAGCGTCATAACAAAAAGGATGTGTTTCACATACAATAGGCATTTCATGTAACAGTGTTACAACGTAAAAGAGTATGTTTATATGCAATTCATATAGTCCCTAATGCTGATCTTCATTGAAGTGTTTAGCCCTGTCCTCTCAGTCTATTCCGTCCTGTGTCCGTTTTTTCGCTTCGTGCTACATAAATTTCTTTGCATCACCAACAAGCCCACATCGCCACTCTTGTTTATCCGGAGACTGCAAAACGATGCGCTTCTCTTTTTATTGGTAAATTTGGCGCAGGGCCTGACAAGATTCAAGAGCTGACAAAATTCATCACAAGAGAAATACATGAAGAGCTAAGGGATGAAAAAAACATCACAGTTATACGCCCACAGTGCTTCTCCTAACGTAGATATATCGTTTAACGATTCTTCGTTTTTCATCATCGAAATTGATTCAGAATATTTAAGAGATGCACAAAACGGTGACGAGGTACTTCCTCACCAAACTCATGTGGAAGTTCGTGGCAGAATACGGCGAGAGATGTCGACAGGCCGCTCTTTAAGCCCGATGAAAAAGCAGCGCCGATGGCCAATCCATCGGCAACATTGTGAATGGCGCCACCGATGATCACCATGGTGGCCAGCGTTGACATGCCTGCGAGTCATATACCTCATGTCAATACTGAAATAACAGGAACTATTACTAAGGATGTTCAGCATCGTGGCCAGTCGATATGATTACGAGCGCTCTATGATGAATAGCAGTGATCTAATTTTATGACTGGTTGTATCATGCGAGAGGCGGCCACAACTTCCGCATTCAGTAGTGGCAAAGGTTGATTAGAAATCGGAAATCGAAAACATAAATGCCGTACGCCCAGTACCACAATATGGTAATAAGATCTCGATCTGCTGAGCGCTGGAAGCAACCACCGTGTGACCTATTGATCAGCGTCCGAATATTCCGTAAAGTTTGGTGAGGTTGGGAGCTTCTGCTAGGGCGACGCTGTAGGTGCCTACGCACACGCAGAGGCTGGAGGCACACCATGGAAAGGCAGTGGTTCCACATGATGATATAAAGTGCAGTTTAAAGTGATTCATGTCTAGTCCAGCTATGGTATTCAGCAGGCGCATCTTTTGCTGCAGCAGGCTAATACTTCGCACTAAACCACCATGTCTCAGTTAATTCCTCAACTTTTTGCTGTCTTGCGAACGAACCGAAACTTTTAGTTCAATATTCAAAAGCTATATGCTATTAATGTTTTTGGCTTACCCCTTGAGTACACATCTGATACGACGTAAGCCTATTGAGGTACTTGCTTGCGTTTTATTTACATGGTGTCTTTTCTACCTGTGATATGCCCTCTATAACTGAATTGTATTCATAGCAAACGCTTAAGCATAACGTTAATAGGCCGGAAATATAACTTGTAGGGTTATTATAAATATTGTAGTCAAGATTCTTTTTTATTTTGTCTTGTTTCATATTGCGCACTTTCTTACTCCTTTGGGTGGAATGCCTCAGTCATTACTTATATACAGCCAGCAGAAAACGGCGAGAGATAATCGAGTGCCTCAGAGAATGAGTGTAGCTTGCTAGTGCTCACCACAAGCAAAGCGCTCGGGACTTCAGCACCGGAACTTGTGGATCGTCTTCAGCCGCTAACGATGGCATGCTCGAGCATTGCGCCTGCAGTGATAAAGTAGACAAAAATCAGTACTGTATAGAAACTGCATTGTCGACTGCCTGTCTAGTTTTAGCAGTGAAACGCTATCGTTAGCTCTGAAATGGTTGTCAGTGGTGATTACACATGCACAACTGACATTTCGATATTAACTATAGGATACAATATAACGCAATCCGGAAGCCCGAAATAGTTCTGTAATATAATAAAAGTTCTTATAACCTAAATGTTCTCTTTTGTATCTTTCATTCAAATAAGCAACAACTTATTGATGCCAACCATTAGCTTGTCATACTTGTCTTCCGCTGTCCAGATTTAGATGACTCGCTGCCATTAATGAAGAGAACGTGCCGACTCTTGAGACAAGTGGAGCGTTTCTCTATATGGCTGCTTAATTTGGAAAGTCCGCTACTGTAAACATGGCAAAGCCGTCGGAGTGAGCAGTTCTCCTCAAAATTGATGGTCACATACTCTATACCTCAGTTTTTTGTCAGCCTCAAAAAATCTACAAGACTCTTGAGCTTTGCCTTTAGAAGGTAAAACGCGATAGCTTGATCGGCCCTTCAATAGACATCGCCTTCTTTATGGCTAGCCTGCCTTAGGTTCCAGGTAAAATGCTCAACCGGACAGCATCCAAACGAACGTCTGTGCGCATAATATCAACCATTTCAAATTCTCCTAAAATGCCTACTGCAAGCAATAGTTCCGAAATTTCCGCTACACCAAAATTACTCGTTTTTCACTACACGCCCGTAACGCAACACGTGAACCAACGAAACCACTCACTTTTTTTTATGCTTTCGCTTCTGATGATAAATGCGTCTGAGTGCTTTTGCAACGATTCTGCTTTCAAACACCACATATTGCACAATTCACATTTTTTTTTCACGCCTGGGCGCGTTGCAACGCTTCTGCTGCGCAATATTACACAAGTAAAGGAAACTCCTCCCGCAGTATGACATTTATTTATTCTTTTTTTTTCGGAAGAAGTTTCAAATAGTCGACGTGGCTCTGTGGTATAACATCTGCTTGCCATACAGAAGGCCCGTATTTAATTCTCAGTCTAACTGAATGCTTTTAGTATTCTTTTTTAATTCTATTTGCGTCTTTCTGGATCTTTTCATGAAGAACAATGCTGATTTTTCCCTGACCACCAATGACGCGTCACCCACTATGACACCGAAATTTCGGCAAAATGAGATCTTCAATGCCATCGCGTCAAAAATCAGCACCACGCCACGCAGCAATATGAATTGGCTAAATACCTGGGATATTCACACGAGCTATGGTAGAACATATGATTACCAGCTCAATGTTGGACTCTGTCTTTGATGAAACTTTTGTCATATGGAGATCCTCAGGGATATTCTTAGGGAGGTGACTGTGCCCATGACCATCACTCTGCAGAAGAATGGAAGAAATGTCGTGCCATGCATTCGGTTATACGCGGAACAATACAAACATAACAAAATATAACGGTTACTGGTCATCGTTATGGCAGTAGACAAAACTATGACATTCACAGCACTTAAACATACGTAAGAATGTGTTTTAATCGCGTCTTTTAGGCATATATATAGAGTAATACATATGGTACTAGCAAGATAGACATACCTTCTCGCCACTAAATATGTTGCTCAGGGCCTCAAAGATGAACAGGCCGTATAAGGCGCCTATCAGCCCCAGCTGTTTCCACATGTATTCTGGCACCAGATTGTCGTGGTCGTGGCTGTGTGAATGACCTTCAGATCCATGTTCTGCGTCGTGGCTGTGCAGGCCAAGTACCTGCACACGAACATATAAGTGACTTCAGTCTTGTGAGTGTACAATGGCATACAACCATTTCCTGTTGTAATTTTTCAATATTGTACAAATAATTCGGAAACAATTTTCCAATCTGCACACACAGATAAGCCCTTGAAGTTATAATGAAGTAATAGATACATATAACATTTGACGTGTGCCATTCCAGCCTTTCAACTCAAACAATCAAGGCGCTGAAAAAAATTAGGTATCTTAATGATTTAAATGCGGGGGCATCTACTTCGCTACTGTTATCCGCTCTGTCGGTCGTGACATCTGGCTGCTGACCCACAGGTGGCGGGATCGAATCCCGGCTGCGGCGGCTGCATTTCCGATGGAGGCGGAAATGTTGTAGGCCTGTGTGCTCACATTTGGGTGCACGTTAAAGAACCCCAGGTGGTCTAACTTTCCGGAGCCCTCCACTACGGCGTCTCTCATAATCATATGGTGGTTTTGGGACGTTAAACCTCACATATCAATCAATCGTGTGTCACAACGAGCGCTCAAAAAAGGGCGCGCTGCGAAATTCTCGCGACGAAGCGCCGAGAGGTCAACGATAAAAAAAGAAAACAAGCATCCAAAGACTCCCTGGGCGCGCGTCTCTCTCCCTCGGAAGCGTAGGTTCGCCGACGAAACCTCCTCGCATCGGCGGCCGAGCAAGCCCTAGAGAGTTCTCGATGGAAAGGGGCCTGGTGAGGCTGGGTTGAGTCATCCGTCGCGCACGGCCCCTGTATCGTCTCGCCCTTTCTCCCAGCCTTCGCTGCGTATCGCGCCGACGAAATGATGAGAACTTTCTGGAATCTCGCGCGGAAGGTATTTAATTGAGCAGCCGAGATGGGAGATCAGCAGAAGAAGTAAGTTAACGCGAGAGTGCGTAGGATATCCCGCCGCGTCTGTCGGTAAAGGTTTTGTCCTTAGTGACGAAGCAGGAAAACAAGAAAGTATGCGCCAGAGTGCGTAGGGTGTTCCGCCTTGTGGGCGAAGCCTTTTGTCTTCCGTGACAAAGGAGGAGAAGAAGAGGATTTCCACCTGAGGGGTGACGACTCGAGCTACAGGCAAGAGCGTGTGTCTACCGCTATCGAGCGAAGACGCGTGGCAACAGCTGCAAGTGTGAAGCCAACGTGTTTCCGGCGAAGAAGTTTGAACCTTGGAGAGCGGCCAAGTGAAGACGTGAGGTTTTCTGGAAGAGAAACTTCTGGGGCAGCGGAACGACAACAACGCTGGACATTGAGTGAGTGATTCTCGGAAGAGTATCATCCAGACTTTTGTTCCAAGAACTTTGGACTGAATAGGTTTTCTATCTCTTTAGTCTTTAAGTGTCTTGGTTGTTCAATGCATGCGACTGCATTGTAGTGCGTATTGTTGTCTGTGTTCGTTGTTTCGAGTGTGGCTGATTGTACTGTGTAGTACGTTGTTTGATTGGTGAGATATTGTATTCAACTATTGGGGAGTGTGCATACTTGTGTATTGTTTTTGATCTGCCATTACTGAGAATATAATAATGTTTTGTTTATCAACTCTCGGCTCTGATTTGTTCTTTGGGCCACAGCCGGCGTCCGCTGGCACGCCAAATAGGACCACTTCTAAATTGTCCACGCTTTGATGGTGCGGTTCCGGGGGCCGATACTTCGGCCCTTGGAATTAGCCCGGCAATCGCCCCCCGAATTAACGGGACCTGTGACATCGTGACATCTGGGTTCATTACATTGACTGCAAGAGAATATCATAATATAAACACCTATGATGAATTGAATAAGGGCCAGTTGTGCAGTAAGCCAGTACTTATGATCGATTCCACAGCTTTCGAGAACGGAGGCGCGATGCGCAATAGCAGTCAAAACGGAAGTGTACATCATAACTCACGAAAGCAAGTTTAACGGGTTTTCCGGGAAACACAGCGCATTCAGCTAACAGGGCAACAAAGATATAAGCGGATGCCCTGCTGTGATTCACTGAATCGGTATAATTACAGTTCAGTAAAACATGTAACAGTGGCGATTGCCCTATAACAACATGGGCAATCGTAAACTTGGGCAATCCGTATGGGCTGAATGCGTAGATCTGAGCTAAATATTTTTCTATCAGGAGTGAACACATAACTGCTAATACATATTCAGACACGTGGCGTTTAACTTATATACGAGTTCATAGAGCTGAAATGGCTTCTCCCTGCTGATATTCTAAACTATTCAGCGATAGTACACGCATGTTTTCATGAAAATTTCATAAATGCTAAAGGAGAGCTTGGTAGCTGAAAGCGGCTACACGAAACATTGACCAAAACATTACTGCAGACACCAGCACAACTACATAACATCTCAACGTATCAAGAAAACGTTACAAATTTGCTTATTTTTTTACATAAAATCAAGAAAGAAATGGTTATGTGCTATTCTGTTACAAGCTTTCCCGAGTCGGCATTGCCCAATTTCTGCAATGAAACTCCAATTCTCACGAGCACAATTAAGACTCGTTGTGAACGGTGTACTACAGACTATGCTTAGAATGTAAGGCGTCGTGGCAGGTTCAATGTCAGCGTTACTGCTGGAGTGTTACCACTGGAGCTCTTTGCACTGTCTGTATAACTTTGTGAAAATGTCCGACGTATCGATGCGTTCTTACCCATCGACTGCCATAGATCACGGAATAGCAGACAAACGCGTGTGCATGGTACACGAATGGGGAAGGGGTAACTTCCTGAAGCACCTCCCTCGTGGTCGAGCAGGAAAAAAACAAGCTCCGCCATTGTGTGGCAAAAATTAGAGTGAAACAGTGGCATGTTTCTTAAAACGCCCTGTCACTGCTCCCCGGCTTTCCGGGTTGTAAAGGCGGGAATCAGAAGTTCTTTCAACTCAATGTCAGATGTCTTCGGTCGCCTTTAGCTCTATTGAGCCCTCGTATCCATAACCCTGCAAAATTAGGAAGTGTGGAGAAAGGTCAGACTGAGTATCGGTACGATTGGCAAAGGTATACTGCCCATTATCAGATGCCTGATGGGTACATCACCCTTGCATACATCAATTGTAGTAGACTCCTGTAGTAGTTGTAGGGCATATGGTAGTGCACACCTGTGGTATTAGGTGCAGAAACGCGTCCCCAGTCATGGTGCCGAATGAGAGGCCAATGAAGCCCATCATGATGTAGTAGTAGGCGTGGCGAGCCAGGCACGGTAGAAGCAGCACTCCCATCAAGGAGCACAGGACTGATGATGAACACCGACAGGGTTCCGTAGCCATACACTGGAACAAAAAAAAACGCAAGTGCTTTGAAAAGCGCGCCTCGTCCAGAAGTTTTAAGGTCGAGCAACTGTGAGAGAGCCGAACCTGTCAATAGTGCGACTCTCTTGACAGGTTTTCTGACAGCAAGGTCCTGTTTGCAGTCACTGACTTTGGTACCCTTATCTGCATATTTTTTTCACACCAATCATTGTCATTTCAATTAATTATAAATCTGAAACTGAGTATAGCTATGTGCTATGCATTGTGATATCGAGCTTTCGGTGTTGAACGCTGTGCTGGTTGGTCTTACCAGTGTAATAGTAAAGTAGTAAGCTACATATAGGGGTTTATGCACAGATGTACCTTTAGCTGGAAATCACCATGTGTAATGACAGTTATGTCTTATATTTACTAGTAGCTGTTATCAATATTGAAAAGCACTACATAAAACGCCTGACTGCACGCTTTTCATGGCTTTATTTGCAGTAGTTCATTTTCTTCATAACAAAGCGAGCATTCTGGCTATATAAACATCTAAAAGTAATAGGTTGTCATTCAGATAATAATGCTGCCATAGTTTTCGCCAATTGCGTTTTCTATGCGAGGTGGTGCATGATAGATCTATTTGAACTGGTGATAGGAAAGTCCGCGGGGTCACTCACACTCGGCGGTGGTGGGTTTCCGCTCGTCGTGGGTTGTTTGGAGGCATACGTCACTGACAGCTTGCTGTATCAGCGCCGGGCACAAGTGGAAGAACTCGCGTCTGGTAATGGAGCCGTTTTCGGAAAACCCGAACTGCCGAATCAGCTCCCGCGGAGTCCAACACTGCGATAAGAAGGTGCAAGCGTGCCGCTAAGTGCTGAACTCTTGTTACCACAACATTTATTACGGCCTCACTGCGACAGCTGTCTTCAATATTCACGTATTTATGTGCTATAATCTGACACAACCTTAGCAGCCAAGAAACTGCTAAACAGAAGGCAAAACCTTTTCAGCTGTCGTCAGCTATAACCGCTATCTCCCAAATCTATCTATGCATGCCATTACCTTTGCCCAGTTTCTAAAGAATCTAGCTCATGTTGCGGAGCCAGCGGCGCCACCAGAGCCTTTGAGATATATAAACTGGAAAGCATGTGAAGTTATATTACAGTTCTCAAATAAAGTTGTTTAAACATGCACTGTTATAGATACATCAGTCTCTGTAATCTAAAACAACCATCGACATTAAACTCTTCAAGCACTATGCACGAGAAGCAGCAACAAACGTTTTGCATCGCAATTCATCAATGCGCTTAAAGCACTCAAGAGTGATTACTTGAAGGAACAGTACCTTAAAGCAATGTGCTGGGGTCATTGTGTTCTAGGAAACACCAAGAGAACTTGGTTTGAGAGCTTTCACTCAGAAATACCCGTGTATGGTTAGATAGTGCAGATACCCTTCCTATCCGAGAATGATGTGGTCATTACAGATCTTTATTCATCCTCGGAAGAAAGCCATGTGAAGGAACGTTGCTGGAAAACGATTACGAAGATTCTCAGAAGTGTCAGTGGTTTAATTTCCAAAATTCATCTATCTTCATTTCATTCTCAGATCAACCATCATAGCAGCTGAGATCATCTCCTAGTTGCCTTATTCGCTATCACAGATGCCTTCAAAGATAATTTTTTGAATATGAACCTGGTTTTTAGAGCACTCTTTGTGACACTTCTTTATTGTTTTGCAGATAGCTTGACCGCCTACTTAGAGCGGTTGGCTGACTTTCACGCTATACATCAACACAGTCTGTAGTTCTGCGCACAATCACCTAACATATTATAAATAGCCATAGAGTAACGATAGAAAAAATATAACCGTCTAAATAATTTCTAAAAATAGCCCCAGAGTTACCGAGTTGATGAGCGCGACATAGCCTGATACACCTTAAGCATTAAGAGGCAACCACGAGCTGTAATCACTGCTTATACAACAGGCAGTCTTACTTTGGAAGCGGAACTGTTATGGTTGTGAATGTCGTGGTCCGGAACCAGCGGGACACCACGCCGCCCCCTTCCCGCGACGTTTGAACCAAGCCGCACAGCGGGCTGGCTTCGAATTGATGGCACAGTGGCACGACGATGGCGAGTACTGGCTTCATCGCCGTGTTGATGGTCATCATGCTCATTATTACCATCCTGATGATGGTGATCGGATGTCTTGGCCGCCTCGCTATGTTCAGTGGTACTGTGTGTATCCGTAGAAGTGCTGGATGCTGGTGGCGTTGAAGTCTGTTCCGCCGTGGTAATAACGCTGTGATTCTTCTCCTGATGGTTGTGGGGAGTGGTGTGTCCATGATGATTATCTTCGTTGTGTCCGTGACCACCGTCATGATCATGTTCATGGTCATGATCATGATGATGGTCATGGTCATGATTATGTTCGTGGTCATGATCATGTTCGCTTTTACTGCCGTGGCCATGGTCGTGGTTCTGGTCGTGCCCATCCTCATCTTCATACTCGTGATCGTGATTGTGGCTTTCATGGTCATGATCGTAGTAATGATTATGGTCACTGTGGTCATGGCCCTCACCGTGGTCATGCTTGTGTTTGTGACCATAGGCAATATCTTCCGATGCTAGGCGTAATTTCTTCAGCAGCCTCTCTAGACCTGCACGATTTAGAGTGATGATTTGAGAAATCGTATGCCACTGGCTCAAGTTCCGATTAGTTCAAAAGCTTAGTTAAATGAATGTCGACAAGCTGTGCTAAAGATGTTTATTAACGACAAACAAAACAAGAATTTTCGGTCGAAAGTAAAGACGGCATGTATGCTATTTCTGCTTTAATGAAAACACGGTCCTCCGAATTAAAACCTCTAAGGCACTATGGCTAAAACAACATTTCCTCCTTTCATTTTTGATGCACAACGCCTTTCCACGAGAACACATATCTTAAAATAAAAGCTTACCTTGTTGCGTCATTAGTTCCGATGTGTTGTCACCATACCGCCGGAAGAGATCTTCAAGAAAATCTGTCACGGCGTCTCCAACCTCGATGCAGTGACCTAAAAGTAAAATTAATTTCAGTAAATTCAGGTCTCTAAAGTATTGTTATCGTCACTTGCAAGTAATTAAATTTTAATGCATTTTCTTAAGAGGTCGAACCGGTGAGATACCAAAGCATGCCTAAAAGTTGCCTTTGTTATTTTTTTTAATTTTTTAAATGCTCAACTCTAGATATTTCCCTCGTATGTAGCTGAAAGAATTCATTTGTAATTATATGTGGGTAATTCGTACATAACAATTACAATGGCATATTTTTTTTTTCCGCTGTGGTAATACAAAGAACACCGTGAAGGTTCGCTGTTTATGTGCGAGCACGCTGCATTAGAAAAACATTTTCCTTGAGGTTGTGTGCTAACTATATTATTATTTATTTATTTATTTATTTATTTATTTATTTATTTACTTACTTATTTATTTATTTATTATTTATTTATTTATAAACAGGGTACCAGCTATTCACTCTTGAGCAGTCATCACAGGGATCGTATTACGAAAGCCAATAGCACAACTCTTTAGAAATTAAACATGAAAGAAAATCTGCGAGAAAATTTAAGCATACACTAACCCTGTGAAAGATGAGAAATGACTGACGTAGCGACTTTTTCGACGTAAGCATCTTCATTCTTCTCGTATGGCGCTACGCCGTTCAGTACTTCCTCTGCGGTGAAGCACTGCGGGAATGCAAAATAGCGATGTAATCAAATGTATCAACTTAAAAAACTAATTCAAAAACACTGTAATCATGAATTACTTGCAGTCGGAGGACTTCGAAACACTTTTACGATGTTCGTCATGTTTCATATTTATCCTATACGTATATGCGACAGCTAATGGACTCGGACTCTTAGCGCAGGAGGCATTTTTCCGTTTTTATTATGAGTGAAATCAACGATGCCGTTGTATCAATTGATAACCAACGTCAGCAACATACTAGTGAACACTCACCATGGCTAATCATCATTTGAAACGCACTCGCTAACCTGAGGAACCATTTTAGGCTTATTGACTGGGCGCGCAAACTATTGTTGCTACAGTATTTGTGGCGCAAATATTGTGGCTCAAATATTGTGGTTAAACAAAGCTGCCGCACAACCGTAGAAATCAGCCTTTTAAGGAACAAAACATGTCCCGCCTAAAATCTCTCGTATTGTCGCGTAAAGCTTCGTGCTCACCACAATGACGGCAACAAGAACACCGCCAACTGTCCTCGTCGGGATAACAAACAACGTCATACAAGTCTATTGGTATCCTCTCCGGGATGCCGTCGACGCGACCACTATCCGCGCGCCAAGTGTTTCCACAATCAACAAAACGCGCCCTTGCCTCCAGCGTCGAGACAAAAATGGCACGCGCAGCTCAGCACTGGCCGAGGCGCGAAGTAGCACACCTTGCGTCTGTTGGTGGGCACGTAGACGGCCTTGACGCGTCGCAAAATGTCCTCTAGGCGCGCCAGCCCTCCAGGTGAAGCCAGCTGCAGGGCGGCTCGGCATTGCTCGTACGTGGCGCAGCGTCCAACGTGGCACGGCTGCCGCATGTCCGTCAGTCGCTCCAGCAGGAGAACGCTCAGCCTCTCACGCTGCCGGTCGTCCACGGTTTCGTTCGTGTCGTTCCCGTGCAGTAGAGAAGCCATGCTATCAGGTGACAGGCACTGCGTAGAGCCGAATCAATGCGTCAGTGTTTATAGGCCCCCGAAAACACGATTTACACAACAGCACACCTCAGGGCGTGGTGTTCGAAATTGGGGATTAAACCACCGTTGTTGTCCGGCATAACCATGAGAGCAGCGAGGTTTTGGTACTCGAGTGCTGACCTGAAAATCGCGGCGTATAGTTCTGACCACAGCGGCCGCCTTCATGGCCGAGAATTGGAAATGTTGACGCGCTGCCCGCACCAGTGGCGAAACGAACTCATTGAGGCTTTGAAGCGCACTCAAGTCTACCTTTCCCGCAGACACACCCAATAACAGTAATAAAAACTTTGACAGCACCACGAGCTCTTCCGGTAGACCTCGACACCATGTCAGAGCCAGTGAGGGCTTTGGAAACAGGAAGAATCAGGCTCGCAAAAAGAACCGAGGAAGTGGCATGAATTCGGCTACACAATGAAGTAGCATGCCAAGTGAAACAGTGCTTCACCGTCAGTGTAAAACCAGGAGTTGTTCTTGAAATCTTACCTCTGGGCTTTGCAATCAAAATTGAAACAGGTCAAAACGTGTCTAAATTGAGGCAACTCTCATGGGCTGTATGGGGAAATCTTCAAATGGCCTGGTAAGGTAGGCGCTTTGTGGCACTTCATCCGAATTACGCATGAATTGTTCTAGTAGTTCCTCAGTATCCGGAAACGAGAGTCGTTTTCAGTAGCATATTTTCATGTGTGCATGTACTTCCCATTCAGTTAGAGTGGGCCTCCAACGCACCGCTGAAACATGGCGCTGCATGTATAATTCCGGAAAATGTGGGATGAATAAATAAACTTTCAAAAAAGTGACAAACACAACAATAAAAGTTTAGTCATTTTTTCAACGCGAAGTCGATGTGTGGGGTGTTCCCACTTCACAGTACAGAAACTTGCCTGTGAAGGCTAGTGAATAATTAAAAGAAACAACTATGCTGTACTGACAATTAGGCGAGTCTGTACTGAGTCATCCCTTTTTTTGTGGGACACACACATGGACCAGAAATAGACCGTGGTGTCTTTGTGGTGTGTGTGTGTGTGTGTGTGTGTGTGTGTGTGTGTGTGTGTGTGTGTGTGTGTGTGTGTGTGTGTGTGTGTGTGTGTGTGTGCGTGTGTGCGTGTGTGCGTGTGTGTGTGTGCGTGTGTGTGTGTGTGCCGAAAAATATAGTGATGAATGAAAGGAAAGCAATGCTCAATAGGTGGAGCCTTAGTGGCCCCACTGCTTACCTGCACGCACTCGAAGGCTGAGAGACCCGCGCAGTGGACTTTCTTCTGCAGCCCTCGGGCCAGCCTCTCAACGCTGCCCAGTGGCCGATCTTGGGGCTCCTCGGCGGCCACCACTGCCAGCAGCAGCGGCAAGGCGATCCACAGAGATCTTTCTCGCCACATTGCGGGCTTCAATCAGCGCTACCTTGACACCTGCAGGAAGCACAAGATGACGAAAGGAACGTTGTTCGGTGTTTTCCCGTGGCATTCACAGCAACACGTTGTGTTTAAATAAACACAACAAGCGTTTCACCCTGTGAGATTAGAACAAGTTTGTCGGTGTCACGTGCCACATACGGAAGCCACCAATACAACATTGACCTGGCTCTCGCAATTCCGTGCACTTCCTATTAGGCATTATCTCATTGCTACCATTTCGCTTCTTTTACTTTGTTTCTATAGGTTCCCTTGCGGAACACCACACGACCACTCGCACCGCACTGAAAGTTTTCAGTCTTGATTATGGGCATCTACAAGCCTAGTTTTCATTACCTTATCTCTCAATGCTCGGTATATTTTTTGCTACCTGGTCATGCTTGTTTGATTGTTCTAGATCAAGAGCTTGTCTCTAATTTATTGTACCATTATACTTTTTTTGCGCAAATTCTTTACGGCATCAATACATGTTACACAAAATGGTACAGGTTCCTCCTCAATGAAATCGAGGATGGACCTGTGATTCGGGCCATAAATTGATTGCTGCAAGTCAGGCGACCTGGTATGCTGGAGTCCCGCTCGCCACATAGGTCCCGCTCGCCACATTTAAATTGAATACAGCATACCCGGTTGACATTAGTCATGGTTTCAAAGTTATTCCTTATTTACGTTTATAAAGAATTTACACGTATCGTGGTTCCTCAGAACAACGACCTTCTGCTATCTTGCATGATTATCATCTTCATCGTAAGCTTCTAACTGTTATAATAGGCATGATTATGAACATAAGCTCCCTGCTCTGGCTGCACGCCGGAGTCACTCCTGCACCCTTATCTATCTCAATTCAACGTGGCCGCGGCCGCCTTAGCGGCGACCTCGAGGGCTGTAGAGCGCAAGGTCACGACGACAAAGGCCAATGAAAGAAGGCCGTGTTTGGCCTGGAGAGTTGACCCGGCTTCTACTCTAGACTGCGCGTTCTCCCCTACCGCAAGCGTGGCGCGTTCATGGCTTCGAGTGAAGGTCGGCACGCAAAGAAAAGGGAACTCCCGGCTCCTCAATGAAAGGCTAGGAATCAAAGAAGACGTTGATAATTGTGGTTACTTTGCCGCTGCACAATAGATATTTGCTGGGATTATTTCTATTGTAGAAATAATTCCATGCTGTTAGCATCGTTGCAAGGCAGCCGCACCACCTGTCGACATGTCGAATACCACGAAAACGAATCGGACGTTCTCGTCAATGTTTATTATTAAAAGTGGGTACGTTGCCATTTTCCATATTTATACATAGATGCTTTTACGGCGTGTATGTTTGCTAATTGTCGGTGATTGTCATTTGGTTAGACCGAAAGTACCTCACAGTATTACCTTGTGCTATTAAAATGCTGCGTATAGTAAGTAACTTTTGCTCATTTTTACTTACCTCGACCAGTCGAATATCAGCAGCAAGCATTTCCGGACACAGCTGCGTCGAGTGTTGGCGTTTCTGGGAATGATTTTCCGGCGCGCCACTCATATAACAGAGCGTTCAACCTACAAAGACAAAACATGACGCGTGTGAAACACGGACAAGGCTCCGCGAGTGCTGTTGGTGACAGCGAGGCGTGGATAGCAGAGGCAGCAAAGTCAAGTGTGGGGCACGTCATGCAAAATAACAAATCATGCTATGTTATTCACAACTTTGTTTTCTATCTATCTATCTATCTATCTATCTATCTATCTACCTATCTATCTATCTATCTATCTATCTATCTATCTATCTTGACATCTCGATCCCCGTCCCCTGCCACACGCCTGCAGAGTAGTACCCAAGGAACGTATGTACACACATGCCAGTCGAAATATCTGCGTTTCATTAAAAAGCCCTATTTTATAAACATTCGCCCTGTCAGAACAACACGCTAGTCAGATCACAGATAAGCAGGGGACCAAACAGTGGCAGGCATGAAAGAGGCAATACGGGCATGAACACAAAAACTACGCGAAAGCTTCGCCTATATACTCTTTGAGGCTGGAAAACAAATTCGGCCTCCACCCAAAGTTTGTGATGCCGCTTCGTCACATACGCAACCGTTACTTTGAATGCGGTCACGCACGCGGAAATAGATCTACCGTTCTCGTTTCCACACTTCCGGATTTTGACAAGGCTGCCAGAGCTCAATGGGTATGCCTAGCACCCTGTTTATTTATGTTCGTTTTTCCTTTTGCAAACAAACACTGTGGAGCTTCTAAGAGCACTACCCACGGTCATCCGCAACACAGCGCACCAACGCTGCTTTCGGCGTTCAATGCAAGCCATGTTTGCTTTGCCTCTGACAATGCAGCTATATAAGCAGCGCGACAGCATTCATCAAAAATACCCGAACAATATCCCGGCAGCAGGAAGGATGGAGCACTTTGACCAGATGGGTCGGGAAATATGACAGATCACAAGAGTACGCGCATCCGCCACCGCAGGTACATTTATGTGGAACGACCACCCCGGCATTTATACGTAGAACAGCATAATAGAAAAAGACCTGGTGTTTTGAGGGCCGTCACAATGCGTCGCACACTGATGCAGTTATGAAAGCACCGACCCGTATAGGTTCCAAAATCCAAGTGTCTACTTGTTACAGCTATAGCAATTCATCCTATAGATACATTGTGTTTCTCTGATTTATTTGCCACCACATTAGTTCACCGAGGCTCTCCCAATTTAGGAAAAACGCTGACAATACTGCAGACAATACTTCTGTCGCGCACCGAGACGTTGGTGACGGGGTATTCGGGCAGCGCTGGTTTTGCGTGTTGTGGTGTGACGAAGAGCCGCTTCTTCCAGCAATGAAGATTCAAACAGTCTCACAAAAGTGAAGAGAACATAGCTACGAAGAACGACACACCTTAGATAATATTTTAGGCTTTGCGCACTCTAAGGAGTAAAAAAAAAAAGTATATGCGTCACTATTTTCGATGACTCCTGATTGCTGCGCATATGATTATCTTCAAAGAGGCACTTTGACTCTCTCGTTGTTCACATGATACTCGGGAGAGAGTGTAATGACCCCTAGTGAGAGCCACCATATCTCTGTGAAGAGTGTCATACACGTTGCTAGTCAGGGTTTCAAAAAAGGTGGCAAATGGTTCTTTTTTTTTAGTGGGATGAAAAGCAACATTTGTGGCCACAACAACAACGTAGCTTGTCTATTTCTCGCAGTCTTAATTTGCGCCCTTCTCGTTGCATGAAAGTGATTTTGAGGTTTGCATCGAATCATACGTCTTGATCTATATAGAAAACTGATTGATTGATATGTGAGGTTTAACGTCCCAAAACTACCATATGATTAGGAGAGACGCCGTAGAGAAGGGCTCCAAAAACTTCGACCACCTGGGGTTCTTTAACGTGCACCCAAATCTGAGCACCCGGGCCTATAACATTTCCGCCTCCATCGGAAATGCAGCCTCCACTGCCGGGATTCGATCCCACGACCTGCGGGTGAGCAGCCGAGTACCTCAGCCACTAGACCACCGCGGTGGGGCATATAGCGAAAACTTGAGTCATGGGTCGACACAGGCTCACAAATGAGCCACACATTTCTTCATTCCACATAGACAGTGCTACACAGCAGACGTGAGTGTTCTATACGGCGAATCACGATGTCTACAAGCAACTAAGCACTAAGCGTAGAAAGGAACCTATTTGATAGGTACGCTCATACTCTTCAGGAAGCTACACATTTCTTCAGTTGATATGAAGAAGGCTACGCCACAAACATGGGTGTTCTACACTAGGAATTTCGATGCTTTCAAGGAGCTCAGCAAAAAAAGAAAAATAGAGCGATTGAACAACAAAGGACTATAGCTGGCTTGAAAGATCCTTCGTAATCCCTCAGAAATCTCAAGCAGATACTCTTATGATTCCATCACACCCTTTACCACCATTTTTGAGCCGTCAAGCTCCACTTACATGCGGGTGAGGCGAGACCTGGTGGCGTGCGCTGCCGAGCGAAGCGAGGCGACTGTGAAACGCCGCGAGGTGCGTGCCCGCATGATGTGCAGCGCGTGCGAAATTCGGCACCGGTAAAGGGAAGCGAGAGAGCAGCTAACGGAAGCTAAAGAGAGAGCACGTGCTAAACGAGCATGCACCCTAGAACACAGACAGCGACGACGACGTAAACCTGTTCGTCCAATCGCTCGGACTGCTTGCCGCTGCACAGTTGCCAGCCGTTTGCGAAACATGGAAACATGGCCAATAATCAAAGCAAGCCTCGCAGTTTTCTTAGCGCACGTTTAGTTACAGCCGCTCACGAGAGCTACTTCGCTCGAGGAAAAAAGAACTCAAGCATGGCACTGCTTCTGAGAGCGCGCGCCACACTCCCGTCGAGGAAACTTGCTTGCCCACAATAGCCACAAATGGGAAGGAAACAGGCCGCCTTCTCAACCACGTGTGTGCGCATTAAATCTAGTGCGCCGTGGGTGAAATTTTGCGCTCCTTACATCAACGCGCCCTGTGCTACTGGCGACCAAAGCAAGGAAGGCATCAAGTTTCACACCGTTGTGAAAGTCGCGGCTGTCAGGTTGTATCCTGTTCGACCGACAACTGCGTCGCGGTGCACCCCATGCCGCACACTGCTGGGCAATTGCTCTTTATTAATCCGAATTCATGATGGATATGTAGGGTGTAACGTCCCAAAACTACCCTATGATTGAGAGACGCCGTAGTGGAGGGCTCCGGAAATTCAGACCGCCTGGGGTTCTTTAACGTGCACCCAAATCTGAGCACACGGGCCTACAACATTTCTGCCTCCATCGGAAATGCACCCGCCGCAACCGAGATTTGATCCCGCCACCTGCGCGTCAGTAGCCGAGTACCTTAGCCACTATACCACTGCGGCTGCGCAAGCGCAATCAGAATTCGTGAAAAGTGTCTAATATTAATAAATGCAATATTGCCTGTTGTAGCTGGCTTTCTGGTTTTGCATCTCTGAACATCGTTTACGTCTGTAGCGTCTCTTTATTTGTCATGTATAACCCACTCAGCTAGCATTATATCCTCACCATCAGATTGCACTTTGACGCTGGGAACCTTCAATTTTAATAGTTGTTTTTTTCTGTTGCTGTATTTAACTTGCTCGCAAAAATAAGGAGTTATTCCAATAACTTCATACCAGTATGCACCCAATTATGGTTCATATGGGTGTCCTATATCCCTGCAGAAAAATGTTGGTGCCCTCATTTGCTTTTCCTACAATAAAACAAGTACAATGTTATTCTGCTTGAGCCAGCATCTTGATGTAATGGTGCGCTTCGATTTTCATAAGTTTTGCATTTTTCGTTGGCAGCTAATATTATGGTTTCAAGACCAAAGAACGCAACCGAAAAAAAAAACACAATTGTTACGTGAAGACATATCGTATTTACAAGGTGCGGGTAAACGAATATTAGATAGTTTCAGTATCGGTGCTCCAAAAAGGCTTGCGCACGTAAGCAGTTGCGTTTTTTCGTATTCTCAATAAGCGCCGCTTCGAATGCAAAGAAACAAAAGAGTGTGCGTACACAGGCGGCTTCGGCTATCCAGCACTATGGTTTTCTATTAACCCTGTTTTAATATTTTGTGCGTGCCAACTAACGAAGAAGACAACGTAGAATACAATATGCGCGAAATAAAGCGCAACTATAGGCATTATTTTGCTCAGGCAATCGACGTTCTTGTCGAGACGTGAAACAGAGTGGTCGTCCGCCATCATCATTCGGCAGCAACATCGCCTACATCATTTTTTCTCTTCTGTGAAGCCTTCGAGAAAGCTTATGTTTAATCAACGTTGTCAGAATACGAACGAGGGGTACGGCAGTTTCGGCTAGTCGGTATGACATGACGATAGTTATAGCACGAGAACAGAACGACGTCGTATCCTTCTTGTCTCTTTATCATCGTTCTGTTCTCGCATGTAATTTAGAAAGTGTGGCAGCTTGGGCTAGTTGGTATGACATGACGATAGTCATAGCGCGGGAACAGAACGACCATTCCTTTTTGTCCGTGTCCTTCTTGTCTCTGTGTCGTCGTTCTGTTTTCGCTCTATAACTATCGTCACGAACTAGGAATAAGATTTAGGTCTGTCCACTTGTTTGTACGTTTGTGCCTGGCTATAGAAACGCTGATTCTGCTTGAGTGCTTTGTTTGGTTAACCTATGACGCTAGGGTTCTTTGTGATAGACGCGCGGAGAGGCGAGGAAAAACCCCGACGTGAAGAGGCGTGGCGGCGCCACCGACCTTGCTCGTGCCCGCCGCAATAAACGATAGTTGCATCTGCACCTGCGCTGGTCGACGTAGCAAGAAGACGCACGACGAAGGCTGGCGGAAATAGCGGAATGGCCCGTTGTCGACGCCGATAGGTTGCAAGAGAAGCGAAAGAGCGGCGAGACATGTACTACGTGCGTTGGCTCATGCAATACGTATCGGAACGGAAGGTATAAGAGCACCCGAACGTCGTCGACGAAGACACGAAAGCAGAGCCCTCTCGTGGTTCTCATTACGAAGACAAGTAGTGGGAATTGTGCAAGCCGTCGTAAGTGGCTTCACTTCGTGTTGCGCAAGCTGACGGATGGCGTAAAATGAGACGTTCCTCTGTCTGGCTCCCTATCTAATGCACGTCTTCGCATGATTCTGCCGTGTTTCTTTTTTATAGACTACAACTGAATATTTTAGATAAGACGCAAGTCTTGTACTCCTTCACGCATTCCGCCACCTTCGAAAGCCACTGGCGAATGGTAACGAAAAAGAAGTCGCCAATGTTTTATCTTTCTCGCCCTGCATTTTTATATCATACAAGAGCGTCCCACAAAACACTTCACAGGTCTTTTTTCGTTCATGGCCCATGAAGTGCATGCTTGAGTGATAAGTCGCTTTGTTCAGAATTTTTTACTCAAGTCTTCTCGTAGGTCTCCACTTCCTGGAGCTCGGCGTACGTACAACCCTTTGCTGCTGCTGCTTCGCTACGGCGAAGATACACTTATTTGCTTCTACATGCTTCTTGCCATCCGTCACATCACGCCAATACAATAACCAATTCGTTACACCAAACTTTTTTTCGAAGTATATCATATCTTCCACTTTCCGTTTAAAAAAAACTGACAGATTGTATTGAAATTTATCAAACTAATCTGATTTTAGGAATCCATAAAAGCAGATTGAATTCAATGAGCTAAACTGACACGTACATGGATGAAGGAGGAGAAAAGAAAATATAGGAACATCAACCAGACACAAGTCGTCTTTTCTATTTCCCGCTGAGCGAAGGGAATGGATGTTTGAAAAGCTACAGCGACAGAAAGAAGCGGTGACGATATGAAAAAGAAAATAGCGCCAATTTAAGCTGCACTTGCTGCGTCCTGTCCACGTCGAAAAAAAAAAGATTTATTTTGACGGCCTCAGAAGATTAGGTGCAGCACCTTGGCATGTCCTGTTCAATCGTAGAAACTGACGAAGGCATGACTTCTTTACTAAATGACAATGGTAAGGGGGTGACTGTGCATAACGCAGCTTTGTAAGTACTTTGCTCATACAAAATTCAATGGTTAACCAAACACATAACCCACTGGCTACTATAAGCTTCGAAAGGGCGAGAATGATGAGGATAAATTGAACAGACAAGAAAAAAAGCACAAATATGAAAGGAGTTTTGACAACGAAGAGCTAGGATCTGTGTTTGAGTGTTTTTTTTTTTTTTTAGAGATGAGACCCACTAAAGAGATGGCGCCAGCCCCTTGTGAAAGTGTGTCCTTATCACGGCGTTTGACCTCGAGGTCCAGCTACAAATCGATTGGGAGAGCTGCTCAGAACATACAAAAGTTCTGCATCACCTACCGGTGATTCTTTCATTCAAAGTTCACGTGGCGCAGAACTCAATCAGGCTATCAGATGACGACGATCTGTCACGAGTGCCACTAGAGTAAGTGCTTGAGTATCAGCCTCGTACCCTCTTGTGCCTAAGTCCACTTATTGATAGATTTTTATAATCTATCTGCAGTTTCGTAGGCTCCTTGAACTTTTATCACTGAATGGTCTGTGATTAGATATGTGGGGTTTTAACGTCCCGAAACCACCATATAATTATGAGAGACGCCGTAGTGGAGGGCTCCGGAAGTTTCGACCCCGTGGGGTTCTTTAACGGGCACCCAAATCTGAGCAAACCAGCCTACAACAATTGCGCCTCCATCGGAAATGCAGCCACCGCAGCCGGGATTCAATCCCGCGATTTACGGGTCCGCAGCCGAGTATCTTAGCCACTAGACCACCGCGACCGGGCTCCACGTACATTCGTCAGCGTATATTCGTAAGCGAACATTTGCCGTCACCTGCAAATGCACAACACAGCACCTTGTGTGTATCAAGCCGGAAAAGTACTGCACATGACACCGTTTCGTCCTTTTTTTTTCTCCCGTGCACACTCTATGGTGTCTAGCGTGCGTATTCTAACGTTCTCCTTATCAATGCGTAGAAGCTGTTGTCCATTCATGTATAGTACGCCATGTACATCCACGATGGTGTGTTGCGGTGCGTGAGCTACCTAAAAGTTTCTCAACTGAATGTATTGTTGACACCTGTTCAGCAACTCTTGTGAAAAGCACTAGACGTGAGACATGGCTTAACCAATACATTCATAGTACAGAAATAAGAGCGCGTTATCAACAATTCTTTTATTTAGGCAGAAATGGTGTTTGATTTTTTTGTCTGTGAAATTTAACGCGTCTTTTGAGACTTCCATCTTGTATATCTCGCTTATGTTTTATCCTTGTATTGCAAGTATATTTGTGTGCCTGAAACTTGAGGAGTGTACATAGGTATTTCCTCTTGATGTCAAATCCGCACCTTCCGCAATGGTACTCCGCTAAATTACCAAAGGCAGCGGCTGTACCCTATCCAATTTCTTAGGTGTTTTCGAATTTGTTCAATATATTCTCCAAAAAAGTCTTTTTTGTTACGTTGGAAGCACTGCATGACTAATGTGCATCATTGTTTCAGTGCATAAATAAGTAATTACGGCAATGTATGCAAGTG